CCCTCTTTCACAGGTGCCTGCCATCTTGTCCACTGTATGGGACAGCATCTGTCCACCTGTCTGTGTGACAGTGCAACTACAGTCACTCAGCTCACTCTCAATAGACTAAATATGGAGCTACATAGAGTTTGTATTTCACCAACATCTGTTTTTTAAAATGCTTTCTCTACCTCTTTCTCTGTTAGGCCAAACTTCATCCACTAGATACTCAAACCTTGAGATAAACACATCTCAAAGTCAGTTTAGTGTTATCTCCGTTACTGTCAACTTACTTAATGCAATAAGCCACACCCGTCTGGTGTTCCAGCCTGCCAAAAAAATGCTAAGAATCATTTCACATTCTGAGACAAGGTGAGCTCTGCTGTACACGGGCAATTAAGCACTTTCCGCGGTGCCATCATTTTATATACCATTTGATCTACCTGTCTGTGTGTCATTGTAGCTGTCACTAAACACATTTTATGCTAATTTTGCTCTTGTTAGACCGTGCTTTATTTGTTTTCTCCCCTTCTTCCCATCTGTCCTCCTCTTTTTTTTCCCTCATCAGACATATTCTGTCATTGGATGATTACACAGACTATCTCTGGCAACTTGAAATGTGATAAATGACCCTCCCTTTGTTCGTTGGTATATGTCTTTCTCTTTCTCTAGATGTATATCCAAACCACTACACTGACCATTTCCCTCAGCCTGTCTGCCTCTGTGTCCCTGGGAATGCTCTACATGCCCAAAGTCTACGTTATCCTCTTCCACCCTGAGCAGAATGTACCCAAACGAAAACGCAGCTTCAAGGTGAGGCAGAATTGCATTGTGTTAAATACTGCATGATGTATTTTGATGACGTGAGGATGGAATTTCACTGACCAAAAAAAAACCCCCAGAACTTGGTAGTATAAATGGTTATGCATGTATGATTTCTGAATGCCCATCCATGATGATACAGGCCATTGTAACAGCTGCCACCATGTCTGGAAAACTGACCCAGAAGGGAGGTGATCGGCCCAACGGAGAGGTCAAGACTGAACTGTGTGAGAGCATGGAGACCAACAGTGAGTAAGAGAACACTATTTTACAATTATACATATAATAAACCCTATAAAACGCTGAAATTTATAGCAGAAAAACAATGATTAAGAAACTTTAAACTCATAATAAAAGTACATTGATATAATGTATATAGTAAAATAGCGCACCATCCTGGATCTGCTGTGTGTACACTTGGGCTAGTGTTCACTTTAATAGGAGAGGATTGAACTCAAAAAATCAAAAACAGTTTAACAGGAGAGGATTGAACTAAAAAAATCACAAACAGTTTGAACAAAAGTAACCTTTTAGTAACCTTTTACTGTATTGATTAACAAATAATAAAATAAACAGGAGACATGAGTTTAATTATGGTGCTGGCTAACAAAAGTTCAAATCAGGATATTTAATCAAATAATTTATCTCATCTTCCCTGAGTGATTAATATACTTTATCTTTTTATTTTAATTAGATGTCATAATGGAATAACCCCATGCAAATAAACATTTTTTCTTGTGTATTATTATGCTTAGATATACATTTACCATAAAGTTTGTTTTGATTGAATTAATAGAAACTTTAATTTCAGTTTAAAAATTAATTCACACTCAGCCTCTTTGCATGGCAGTTTTTAATTAGCAGTGATGTGTTTTCTGAGGTCTGACAGTGAAGCGCTAGTACATCCACTTCAAAGCTCTACTTTCTGTGGAGCTGGTTCTCCCATGTCAGCAGCCTGCAGATGAAATGACAGCATTGCGTTCATCTGCATGTGTGCCTCAGTGTGTGCATGTGCATATGTTTGTCAGTCTAGTCCTTTGTGCGCATGTTTCTATTTCTGTCTCTGGTTGTTTGCGTACAACACATGTTCCTGTGTAGTCTGTGAAAACTGTAAGCAGGTGTATAATAGGTTTCAGACCTGTGAAAGCAAACCATACTTTTCTGTCAGCACTTTATTACGATCATTGAAGGAGGCTGGTCACAGTTCATTTAGCCAATGAACTGCTTAGCCACACTGCTTAGTCATCTTCCTGCATACTTTACTGTGCAAAACATTTAAAAATTAATACATATGGTCAAGGTAGCTATTTATTCATACAACTTTGACAAGCAAAATGCAAGTTTCTACTTTTTTAGAACCTGACTTTTTGCTCGAGTGCTCTTCAGAAAATATCAGTAGAAACTTCTGGACATTTTTCATGTCTGAAATAAATGGAAAAGAACTGCATGTACAAAATTACACACACACACACACACACACACACATATACGCATATATATATTCATCAAGGACCATTACTCCAGCAGTGTGATGGCAAAACATAAGTGAAAAAAGGGTTGCATGAAAGGACAGGAGTATAACAATAGTGCACTTAGAGGCGTGTTGTTGCTGGGTTGCTGCAAAAACATTGACATTTACCATGGAATGCTTGAGGAGACACAAGACATAAAGGGTTTGACAAAGAGCCCTCTGCTCAGGTGGACTGTGGATGTGACACTGTTACTTGACTGTCTATAGCAAAATCTGCTCTCAACTGCTCTTTCTTCTGTTTCTTCCTCCGCCTTCTCGTGTCTTTCATTGTATCATTTCCATTTCATCTTTTCTGCTCATTTTTCCCATTTCCTGTGCCTCACACAATCACATCATTTTTATCATCTTCATCTCCCCCATCAATATC